CTCCCTCTCACCACCACGCATCCCCCTCTCACCAGCATGCATCTCCCTCTCACCACCACGCATCCCCCTCATGCATCTCCCTCTCACCACCACGCATCCCCCTCATGCATCTCCCTCTCACCACCCCGCATCCCCCTCATGCATCTCCCTCTCACCACCACGCATCCCCCTCATGCATCTCCCTCTCACCACCACGCATCCCCCTCATGCATCTCCCTTTCACCACCACGCATCCCCCTCATGCATCTCCCTCTTACCACCATGCATCAGACGGGTTCTGAGTCCTCCTGATGGATCACAAACGGTTTGACAAGTCGTGGTGTTTGACAGGCCGTGCACATTTCTCGTTCACCTTGACTGCCCGGGCTGAAACCTTTGGGAAGTGGGATCCCGTTTTCAGTTTCAGTAAGTGATCTTGTCCAACTTGGAAAGGATGCGCTAGGTACAGGGGTGTGATGCCATAAGACCAGGAAGCCGAGCTGCAAGTATAATTATGGACTGGAAGTCAAATTCTGAAAAAGGTTTTCCACGTTAGAATGCCTCTAGTACTTCAGTGCAATGTGAGTTTTACGTGAACCATCACACCCTTCAGCAACCACCACTTCGTGCACATCACCCAGGAAAATAATTAACTCGCGTGCTTTACGCCAAAAAAAAATCTATTTAAATCGCCGTGAGATGCGGTGGGGTCTCACAAAGGTGAATTATATGAAGTACATGCCATTGATTTGAGATACATAGATGAAACAATAACAGATATACAGAGTTGGATCAAACTCTAACAAAATTCTGGACAAAAAAAGGTAGTTGCAAAAGTTAGCAAAACTCAGTTTGATACATAATTAGAAACACACAGCCATCGAATATTGACATATTTAATTGTGCTAAGGTTGAAATTTCGCAGTTGAAATTGTTTTAGGATTCCCATTAAAAGGATGTAATCGAAGTGCCATTGTTACGAGTGCAATTGAGCGAGCGAGCGAGAATTGCACTATCGAAGCAAAAACGTACATTGAGCGAAGGAATGAGCGAAGATTATATAACGAAGCTAGTGTGGTAACAGTCACGTAAGAAATCGGGGTGCGCTACGGGCCTAGCACCGAGGTTGGGAAATGCTTCGGCAGAGGTCCGGAGTGCGAGTTACCAACTGAACTGCGAGGTTGGGTCGCATCGTGAACAGTGGCGGGAACAGTGGTTGAGGCGAATTTCACGAGTGGTAACGGTGCACTGTTGGGCACTATTGGGAACAGCCATATACGCGGTAAGCAAGGGTGCGAAGCAAGGAAAAGGATTTTTCCTTACACTCTCCCCCCCCCCCCCCCCTCCTAAGGAGGCCCTCCTTACGAGAGTGCGTGTACATCCCGGAAGTTGGGGCTGCGCTGTTACTCAGTGAGGACGGGGTAGTTTTCAATTCTGTCCAGGGGCACCCAGTTATCTTCGGTGGGCGTGCAACCTTTCCAACGAATCAGAAATTCTATCCTGCAGGCTCCTCGTGGGTCACGAACTCGTTGGCGCAGGATTTTCTCTGGCGTGATGATTGGCTCCGTTGGTGGTCGTGTCATACCGGCTGGGCGGCTGCGTGGCAGTTGGCTAGTGGACGGGACATATGGGTGGAGCAGGCTGACATGGAATGACGGGCTGACGTACCAGTCAGCAGGGAGGAGGAGGTGGGCGGTGACGGGTGTTATCATGTGACTGATCTAGAATGGCCCGCAATATTGTGGGCGGAGTTTCGGATTGATAGGCAGGCGGAGGTTTTGGGTGTCGGGTAACACGAGGTCGTCAGGCTATTAAGTGACAGGTCGGCGGTGGCGATCGGCATTGCGCTTAGCGATGATGTTTGATTTCTTTATAGCGTCTGCTGCTCTGGTCTGGGCTGCCTGTAGTATTTCTGCGAACTGTTGTGCGCATGGTATTGGGTTGTCAGGATGCGGGGTCATGTTCCTATGTTGCCGGGTCGTCATACGTGGCTCGGATTAACTGCTCCATGGTCTGGTTTGTCCATTCTGTTTGACCGTCGGTTTCGGGGTGGTATGATGAACTGAACTATAGTCGCGTACCGAACTGCTGCCACATGTCCGCCAGAAGTTGCAGGTGAATTTCGTGTTGCGGTCGCTGATAATCGCTGCTGGTATCTCGTGGAGTCGAACGATGGTGGAGATGAAGAGTCGGACTGTTCTTTGGCTGTGATTAATTTCTTGCAGGCTACGAAATGCACCATCTTCGTCAGCCGATCGACGAAGACCAGGATCGCGTCGTTCCCACTTGCTCCGGCCGGTAACCCCGTGACGAAGTCCATCGTCACCTGCTGCCAAGCTCGCTCTTGGGGTGGTATCGACTGCAACTGTCCTGCCGGTCGCTGTCGTGACGGCTTTATGAGCTGGCAGGTGGGACACGATGCCACGTGTCACTGCATGTCGGACAGCATCTCGGGCCAGTAGTAATATCGTTGCAGCTGCTGTCGTGCTTTCTCTACTCCGAATTGTCCTGAGGTAACTCCGCCGTGTGCATCCTAAAAGAGTAACTCCTGCAGTAAAGTGTAGCCCATTACCCAGATGCGATCGATGCCGGCTTTTACGTAATAAACCCCTTTTACTGCTGCGAACTGCTGCGAGTTTCCTCCGGTGAAGAATGGGTATGTTTTGTAGCCGTGGGTAAATAGTCCTGTAAGCTGTGGGCTGGTCTGGGCAAGTAGTATGGCGTGTATCTGGGCAGTGGGGGGGGGTCAGTGCGTCCGCTATATTTGAGGCTCCTTTTTTGTAGGTGACCGTGTGGTGAAAGTTGGACTCAAGAAAGTCGAGCCAGTGGACCCGTCGTGGGTTGAGGTGGGCTGTGCGCAGAGGTACTGTAGTGATTTGTGGTTTGTCTGTACTGTCATGTCGGCGCTGGTAACTAACAACGCCAAACTTTGAACTCGTGCATGATCGCGAGCATTTCACGGTCGTGTATCGGGTATTTTATTTCGGGTGGATGTAGTTTTCGTGACTCGTATGCGATGGGCTGTAATCCGTTGCCAAGGTCGTGTAGCAGTAGGACTCAAATGGCGATGTCGCTGGCATCCGTAACTACTTCGAATGGGCGGTGTGGGTCGGCGATGCGTAGTACGGGGGGTGAACAGAGAACATTTTTAAGGGCAGAGAAGGCAGCATGCTCTTTCTCCCCCCACGTAAAAGCGACCCCCTTCCTCAGCAAGTCCGTCAGCGGGGCAGTTACCCGTGCTATGTCGGGGACGAACCGAAGCACATAATTCACAAACCCTAAGATACTCTGCAGCTCTGTGATATAAGTCTGGGGATGCCACGTTTTCACCGTGTCTACGTTTTTTTGGGTCGATCTCAACTCCATCCTCTGAAATAACGTGCCCCAGAAATTCTAGCCGGTCCTGAAAAAACTCGCACTTCGAACCCTTGGTCAGTAGGTTCTGTTTTTGTAAAACATCTTAAACACTTCTTTCAAATCCGCTAAGTTCTGTTGTTTGTCGCAACTATAAACTTGGATATTGTCGAGGTAAACTATCATGCATTTATCTAAGAGTGGTCTAAACGCCTTGTTCATGGCCATCTGGAATGTTGCCGGTGCGTTCGTCAGCCTGAATGGCATCAGTGTGTACTCGTAAGACACGTACCTAGTTCTTAAAGCTGTCTTGGGCAGTCTGAAGATTCGACTCGAATCTGGTGGTAACCCCCCCCCATAAGTCGATTTTCGAGAATACCCCGACTGTTCATAGTTTATCTATCAGTTCGTCGGCGTGGGGGCTGGGATATCGCGATTTGACTGTTACCCTGTTCAGTGCGCGGTAGTCGATGCACATGCGAAAAAACTCCGTCTTTCTTTGGTGTGAACAGTATCGGTGCGGCGAACGGTGACGAACTCGGCCAGATGATTTTTTTCTCTAGTAGGTAATATAGTTGCTTCATTAGTTCGTCGAGTTTGAGCTGTGTCAATCTGAACTGTCGCTGTATGGTTGGCTGTGCCCCCGGCTCTAACTCTATGCGATGGTCGTGTGCTCGCTGAGATGGTAGTCCCTCCGGCAAATCACCTGGAAAAATCCCCGGATACCGTTTCAAAAGTTCCTGTAGTTAGGGCGGTATGGCTGCCAGCCGTTTCCTAAAATCACTCTGCTCCTTTGCTTCTCCTAATACTGTGATGTCCACTACATACACGTCAGCTCCAGCGGCAACAACCCGTTTTATCATGATGGTGTTGACGTGGCGTTTAGCGATCGCCAGAGAGGTAGTTCGACCCAGTTGCCACCGCTTCGCAGAGGAGCAGTCGTCGGGGGAAACGAGGAGGAGTGAGGAGCGGCGCGCTGCTGCCCCTCGACGCAAGGAACACAGGGTGGGGCAGGCGAGGGTGGGAGGGAAGGCAGAGACCTGGGAAGACCAGAAAGTGACCAGGAGGCGGGAGTGCATGCCACGAAGGCGTGGCAGGGAGGGGTGACCAAGGCGGTGGTGCCAAAGGAGAGTCTGGTGCGACAGGTGACGACACTCGCAGGGGGGGGCTACCTGAACTGACGTAGCCACCTGACCAGACGCAGCAACCTGAGGAGGCGCAGTAGTCAGTGTGTACAGACTCGACCCAGGCTGACGGGTGAACGTGGCCAGGTGACGGCCAGTCCGAGAGCACGTACAGATCGCCACACGCTGCCGTCCAGGGGTGAAGGTATCAACCTCCGCATCCTGAAGGACAGCGGTGCTCACCAAGTTCGTCGAGAACGAGGGGAGGTGGAGACCTGACAGCGAGCCGGACAGAAGTGTCGGACACGGGAGCACAATGGAGGAGCGTACAAGCACTGGAGCCCGAGAGGGGTCAGCCAGGGAGACCACAATCGGTCTAGGGAGTGGTGTGAGTGCGGTACTGTCACGAAAGAAACAGCGGGAAGCACCTGAGTCAAGAGTGAAGGTGTGCAAGGCCTCAGCAAGCGCAGTACCAGAGAGAGCAGACTCACTAGCACCTAGAGCAGCAGCCTCTATACCTGGGTCGGGCGGCACACACAACTATCAGTCACCCTCAGCACTAACAGAAAATGCAAACATGGCATTAAGGATAGCATCATAGTCAAGAGCAAAGACATCAAGCCCAGACCTAAGCAGCTGCGCCCAGCGGGGTATCTCAGCCTCCTCGCCAAACTCAGTGCGCCAAGCGTCGTCTAGGCGGGAGAAGCAGTGGTGCAGGGTGTGAAACTTCCCGCACGTCTGACCAGCGCGGTCACCTGTGCGAATGACGTACGGGCAGCGACCACTACCCCCAGACGCCCCACGCTGAGCAAACCACTCACGAAGCTGCTGGGGCGTGAGCCTCTCCCGCGGACACTGCTGCTGCAGCTGCTGGCGCTGACCTGCTCCAGCCCGACCACCACCACTGCCGCCGCCACCACCACTCCCTCCGCCGCCACTACCGCCGCCACCACTCCCACTGCCGCCTCGAGCACCACCACCACTCCCGCCACTGCCGCCACCGCCGCCACCGCCCCCACTTCCACCACCACTCCCGCCACCACCGCCACCTCCGCAGCCTCCACCGCCTCCACCGCCTCCACCACCACCTCCTCCGCTGCCACCTCCACCACCCCTGCCGCCCTTGCCCTTGCCGCTGCGACGCTTCGCACTAGGAGTGGAAGCAACACCGACCTCCTCAGCACCAAGGAAGTCGACAGCAGCAGCAGTAGCAACTGAGGGGGCAAGGGGGGAGGGGGAGCACCCCTCAAAGAAGGGCGTGCAAGGGGCGCCACGAGTAGCAGCTACAGCGAATGCACTAGTCTCAGCTGCAAGCAGTTGCTTCTCGAGCAGGTCAATGGTGAGCTCAGTCGGGTGAAGCGCGACAAAGTGGTCCCTAATTTCGCTGACGAGAATCAGGGAGGCGAGTGACAATGAAGTAGAGGGTAAGGTGGATCGGGGGCTCGTTCTTGGGGAGGAACTCATCTGGGGTGGCAGCACGGTAGCGATCGTTAATGGTGCGGAGGTGGAAAATGAGGTCCTCTACAGTGGCAAAGGACGACAACTCGGGAAACAGGTAGGGCAGGATAAGGCGGCCGAAAGCTGCTATGGCAGGCGAGGAATAGCGACCGACTACCGCGTCGAAAAGGGCTTTACCGGTCTTATGCTGGCCAAAGTGAGCGCGTTCGGTCGTCGGTAAATGGTTGCGAACGGCTAGGTGAGCGGCAGCGTCACGAGAAAGCCACTATGAGCGAGTCGCACTGTCAGCAGTGTGGGGAGGGGCAGTAGAGGCTCCAGACGTGTGGTCAAAGAGGGAAACACCGTCCTTAATATCGCTCAGCAAGTACAGCTTTAGGTCCTCAAGCCACGTCTCAAACTGAAGAGGACGTCCCTTTGGGTCGAACTCGAGAACAGCGAGGGAAGCCATAGCGAGCAGTACGGGTAGAGCAAAAGGCAGGAATGGCGGCGCACAGGCAGTAAGGGGCAGTGCGCAGGCAGGCAGGGGCGGCACGCAGCTGGCAGGGCGGCGGGCGGCAAGGCAGAGGCAGCGCGAGGGCTGCTGAGGCTGCGCGCGGGCTGCAAGGGCGGCGCGCGGGGCAGGGCAGAGGCAGCGCGAGGGCTGCTGAAGCTGCGCGCGGGGCAGCAAGGGCGGCGCGCGGGCTGCTGGGGCGTGCGCGGGGCCAGAAACGGCAGCACGCGGGCTGCAGGAGCGGCACGCGGGGCAGGAGAAGCGGCGCGCGGGGCTGCCGGGGCTGCGCGCGGGGCAGGAGATGCGGCGCGCGGGGCTGCCGGGGCTGCGCGAGGGGCAGGAGAAGCAGCGCGCGGGCTGCAAGGGCCGCGCGCGGGGCTGCAAAGGGGCCGCACGCGAGCGGCGCTGGCGTCGCGTGGGGCAGCAAGGGCGGCGCGCGATGCAGCAGAGGCAGCGTGTGTAGCTGCAAGGGAGGCGCGCGAGCTGCAGCGGCGGCACGCGCGGACGGTACAGGGCAGGGTAGGGCGTAGGGTAATGCGGTAACCGCTGGGCCCTAAGAGAATCGATCCTACGGACCTACTGCTCTGATAGCATGTTGAGAATACTAGGCAAGAATGGTGAAAATAGCAAGAGTTGGGATACAAATAGAAACCCTAGAATGTGTTGTACCCCATGTAAGCTACCCCACTACAGCCTACAAACAACAAACAGTATTATAGTTTGACAAATCCGACGTGTCGACGAGCTGACAAATCTGACGTGTTTGACAAATCTGACATTGGTTGGGCGGCGCCATTGCTGATTGCGCATGAGCGCTGTCCCACGCTGTCGTGCTGCGATGGTGTGCTCGATGAGATGACAATCGGCTCATCCGATTGCGCGGGTGCATTTGCGGGCGTGGGTGCTAGCGCATTCGCCGTTGATTGCTGTCAGGCGGAGTCATGTTCCACCGTGAGCGTCGCAATTTCGAGCACCGATTCCTCGAGGTGGCACAAAAGTTCGTCGAGGCGATCTTGTGTCAATATCGCGAGGTTGAATTCATCCATGGCGGGGGTGTCGGGCGAGCTCAGCGAGAGCCTCTGTCGTGGCTGAGTATGCTTACGAGAGAGCACACGAGCAGCGGTGCTTGATCGCTGAGGGAATAGTGAGAAAGCCCCTCCAAAAAATTGAGATAGTGAGGAAGCAAAGGTGTGGGCACTGTCCGAGAAGAGATCGTAGGGTCCGAATACCAAGTGTTACGAGTGCACTTGAGCGAGCGAGCGAGAATTGCACTATCGAAGCAAAAGGGTACATTGAGCAAAGGAATGAGCGAAGATTATATGGCGAAGCTAGCATGGTAATGGTAAAGCGAGAAATTGGGGTTTGCTATGGGCCTAGCGCCGAGGTTGGGAAATGTCGAGGCGGTGGTTCGGAGCGTGGGTTACCAACCGAACCGTGAGGTTGGGTCGCGTCGTGAACAGTGGCGGGAAGAGTGGTCGAGGCGAATGTCGCGAATGGTAACGGTGCTAATCCGGTAATATTCGAGGTAAGCGCCAATTTAGGCTTTCATACAAGTAAGCTGGGTGCTAGACTCAAGCTTAAGTATTTCCTTCGCCGCCTCCCATGCTCGCCGATTTACAGGATAGGTTATGCGGAATGTATAGGTCATGTCGAGTCGCCTCGACTCTCGTCGCTTCCAACCAGGCGCTTTAACCGCCCTACGCAGTAGAATCTCTCTCTAATCCCAGAACGTTGGAAAAGTTACTGCTTCAGAGCGGCGTTGCACGCGGAAAGAAGTGAATTCATGCATTAGCTGCTTAACAGATGCAGCACAGGTGAAGGAATCATACGATAGGTGAACTAGAGTCGAAATACAGTGTTACAATCAGATACACTGTGTTACGGATGGACATCCAGTCACCCAAGCACCCACCTACACAAGGATACAGCATACCCAGCTTGCGGCACAAGCACCCACATAGAGCACACAAACACATGATCACAAGGCTAGTGACATTCATTGCAGCAAGCAGAAGAACCCTGTCTTTCCCCCGCTCCCTGTCTTCGACATCGGATCCACAGGTGTTGCGAGGCGCTGCTGTTGGCGGCTGGTGGATCTGCAGAAAGAAGGACACGGTGGGGACATGGCACATGGACATGGACACGGTGAGTCCGACACGTGGGCATGGGCCCCACGTAGACTCTCCAGACTCTGCCACGCTGCAAAGGGAGAGCGCCTTTCCATGCCGCGCACATGCCGACATGCTGGCATCATGATGGCTGAGCCCCACAGCACATGCACACGGGGTATGAGACGGGTAAGGCCGGTCTGGAAATGAAGGCACATGCGACAATACTTGCGATGCTTCCTCGCTCCAAAGGAACAGCTAGCATGGCCTTCCCATGACACGCAGTGTGTGCAGCAAGAAACTTCCTTGGCGGTGAGTATGCAGCATTACTAGCATCACACCCCTCAATGGTATCTCCCTCTCACCAACAAGCATACCCCTCTCGCCACGCAAGCCTCTCCCACTCACCACAAGCCGAAAGCCGCGCATTTGTTAAGCGTGGACGCACGGCCATTCTCGCAGTTCTTCTTCCCTTCTGCGCTATACTCCCTGTACCAGAAAAGAATCATCCGCCCGTTGCAATCCCTCGCCCTCGCGTCAGAGCACTCCTTTCCTGCAAATGGGTGACAGACAGCAAAGGCATGACTGTTTAGTCGAATTCTTCACTATGGGGACGGGCCGCCTGAGAATGAGCGACATCAAGGGAGGCAGGAGCAAATTGACGACCGAGATTCACGTATGAGCTGCTTAAGGGCGCGCACCAGTCCCTAAAAGCCAACTGCAGGTCATAAGGGCGCGCAGCTGTTTGGGCGTATTTTTCTCTGGCAGCTGCCAGAGTTTAGTGGCAATGCTGCCCAGCCTTATGGGCAGCACGGAATCGCCAGCTCCTTGTAAACAGTAACAGCAGAAAATCATAGAAAAACAAAAAAAGGAACATAACAGCAGGAACAAGCCATGTGGGGGCTTGGCTTGATCATTCTTACTCATATCATAAAGGAGTTCGCGTCGACCCTGCTCGTCCCCCACGCCGGGCTGAGCAAAACTCGGCGCGCTGTCTGCCGTGATGACGCCGCCGGCGGTGTCTACCGCTCCCGACGCACCTGCCGCCACGCCATGCCGACAAATAGGTTCGCGCAGAGGAGGAGGGCATCGGGGTAAGGGATGAGGGGAGTGATTGTCAGTTCTGGCTAGGACGTGTCGATTTTCTATTCCCTCCATGAATGTTTGGAGAGCCCATAGGACTCCGTCTATTTCCCGTTGCGTGCTGGAGACCGTCATAAGGTGCTCAGGCATGGTCGCGTTTGCCTCGATTCGTTTTTCTGGGAACGTGTCTAGTGTTGCTCCCCAGCTGTGTGGGTTGGCGTCCACATGGATCACTACATCGTAGCCACTCGGAATGTGGAATGGGGCTCCATTGAAGTTGTCGAATTCTTGTAGCCAAAACTTGAGTTCTTCGATGACGGCGGGGACCAAAGGCACTTTGCTCTTCCAGGAAAGGGTCTCCTAAATGGTATGCAGCACGTTCCTAAAAGCGCGTGCCGCACCAATGGCGAGTGACATCGATGCGAGCATGCCAGTAACTCTTGCGACGTGTCGGATCGGGACCTTGCGCTTGGCCTTGCCTTCCATGCATAGTTCTTGAATGGTTGAGCGTAACGATGCACGCCGCTCAGGACCAATGGAGAACTGGCCGCGCGTCGTATCCATTTCAACACCCAGAAAGCGCAGCTGCTGGGTAGCTTGCAGATGTGATTTCTTTGAATTGATGTAATCCTGCCTTGTTGAGGTCCTGCACCACCATCTGACCTGTGGTTCAAGCCTCTGCTTCCGTGCGGCATAGAAACAAGATCTCGTCCACATATGGGATGACTCGTACCCCGAGGGCCCGCCAACGACGGGCGAGCTGCTTGATGAGTTGCGTGAAAACAAACGGGGCTGTCGCGAAACCGAACGGTAGGGGCCAAAAGACGTATGAGCGCTCGTCGAATTGGAATCCCAGGAACTTCCACCAGGATGGATGAAAGTCAACGTGGTGGTATCCCTATTTGAGGTCGACCGCGAACATTCAATCACCTACACGAACAAGCTCCGCCACCCGATTCAATCGTTCGAACTTGAATTTGGGGATGCACATATTTTGATACGAGCCCTGGTGGGCGCAAACCCACCAGGTGCCCCCCTGGTGGAAACTCGTTTCCACCAGGACGCGGAGCCGGCGGAAGCTGTCTGCCCGGGGCAAAAAAAATAAACCCCAACGCGACCGGCATGCCGTTCGGGAGCCTCAACCCTAACATTTTAGGGTTGAGGCTCCCGAGCCGCATGCCGGTCGCGTTGGGTTTTAGTTTTTTTCCTGCCCGTGGGCAGTTCGCTTCCACGAGCGTGCGGAAGGGATCCCGCGTTCGCCCGCGTTTTACTGTTCACGCCCGTATGAACCTCTGAGTTCTTGACCCTTCGGAGGTCCAGAATCAGACGGCATTTGTCCCACTGCACTACCACTTTTAGTGGGCTTATGCATAGCTCTTGGGTTGCTCTTGGTGAACTTGGAGCGGATTAACAGTCGCACGTGATTATTTTGCTGAAACGACCTGGGGGGTCCCTGCTTCCATGGCATGCCATTTGAGACCACCGAGAGTACGAAGCTACTCTCGCACCATAAGCTCCACCACGGAAAAGCCGCACGTAGGCGCCCATGCATGGTCGTGACTAGCTTGTCGGTAACCGCGACCTCGTACGGGTCATACTCTGCCATCGATCCGTTACCCGGTGTATCTGTGGACTACGGGGTTTGGAAGCAACATAGGACATGCCTTATAAGCAAGGGTCTGCGGTGGTGTGTTTCCCGCATGAGGTTCTCTCTCGCTCTGTTCTTCTTCCTCTTCCTCATCTTCCTCTCCCTTTTATTTTTTTTGC